GCCCAAACCAAACCAACAACTATTTAACAAAATAACCTTAGCGGCCAGAAGAGCAGTAGCCCAAACCTGGTTACAACAAGACATCCCCCCAGTAGCAATAGCGATCAAGAAGATTAAAGAATGCCATCTTATGGACAAACTCACGGCCCAAGTTAGGGGCACAACCAAAGCTTTCAATAAGACGTGGGAACCGTGGGAGACCTACAGTGACCAATAAAGACCAAATAGCAGAAAGGAGACGCAAACACGAACAACGGACTGAAGTATGACCCCCTCCCCCCCCACCTTGACCACCATCGTTGGGCCGAGACAACCGGTATCCCGGCCCGCAGTTTAGTTATTTCTTACTTTTTCATTTCTCACATGTACTTTGGCATGTTTGTGTACTAAACTCACCTCTTGGAACGCCATTGAGCTCTTGCACGAGCCAAATCTTTCACATTGTCTACTCAATACCGTTGCAAAAAATAAAGAATTTAAAAAAATAAATAAACTGGTTTGTTTAGTGTTCAGAATCTGGACACCAAGTTACCTGGAACTTTCATCACATGGCCAAGGCTGTTCATGAGATGAATGGAACTTTCTGGAAGCAAAACGGTTTGCTGATTTGGTTTAAATGTTCCGGAAACCAGCTTGGAAAATAGTTTGTTGGATGCAACTCCTGCACATCCAGTAAGGCTCAACCTTGCAAACAGTGCTGCTCGCATGTCAGCTGCAATGTGAGATCCAGCAGCTAGCCGCAGGTGAGTTACATCTTCCAGATTCACAGCTTTGAAAACAGGCATAATTATTGTCAAACACAGGGGGACTTCAATAAACCCCAATATTAAAGCAGATAATTTGTTTGTTTCCAGTTAATTTTGCATTTTTATTATAAAGGATTATTATGATCATTGGCATAGTCAATGCCTACTATGTCAGCATTCATTGATTGAGGAATTAAGTAAATATGAGTAAAAGCTAGCAGGCACAAACGCCCGCAGGGGTAACATGGCATAGTGGCACCATTTACAAAATTAATCTATACATGGTGTTGGCCAAATTTGCTAGCAAATGCACAAATTAAATTTTATTCTAATTTTCACTTTTATTTCTAAAGTGACCTCATCACTAAACAATTAAGAGGAATATACTACAAATGAAGTGCTTGCATGTTCTGCACACAAAGTTACCTAAGCCTCAAATTATACAATCGCATTCCTACTTTAATTCCTATTGATAGTGAGGAAGTGCAACTTAGAGTTTTTTTTCACTAAACTTCAAATTAATTCTAAATGGCAAAATTGAGATACAGGTAGCTCATCTGGAATAATTATCCAACTCTCAGAGCTGGACTATTCTTGCCTCAGTTTTGGCATTTAAAATGAATTCACAAAAATGTGGAGTTTAGCAAACAACCCTGTAAAATATTACCAGTTACAGCAGCGGGTAGATGGGCTATGTGTGAACCCGAGTTCATGTCAAAATGCTTCTGAATTTAAAAACCAAAAATAAACATTTTTTTAATACTTCAGAATCAATTTTGTATGGTTGTAACAGACGAAAACAAAAAAAAACACAGAGTTTTTGTTTTGTTGAGAAGACAAAGCTAGCATTGCATTTTTGTTTGTAAGGAATAAACCTCAAATAACATTGAGATTACAAATAAAATAAAAAAGAATAAAATAGCATTGTACAGAAAAGAAATCTTGTTTTTTATTTTAAATGATGTCAACATTATTTGCAGGATGAGAAATAGTTACAATGACAAACAATTAATTCACCCAGTAATTCTTTCAAGTGGAAAAGAAAGTCACAAACAAAATAAAAAAAATAAAAAAAAGTATATAAAAACTTACGCTGATTGTTGTACACATGACCAGACACAGAGACCTCTAGATTGCTATCATTCTGTTGCAACTTGTGCAATTTTTTATCTACCAGTTCTGTGACATCAATGAAGTTTTCATCAAATCCAAGCCTTTCCACCCTTGTGCTGAACTCCTCCAACAGTTCTGGAAGAAAGTATGATGTTATCAACAAAAGCAGTCGAGCAAAACGCCACTGTCATCAGTAAAATGAATTATTGTTTAGTTCCTTCGGTATCATGATTCACTGAAACTAAACCGAGGATTTTGATGAATTTGTGAAAGGAAGAACTACGGATGATCTTTTAAAAAGGATTGCTTTCTGCCTTTCTTTAGCTCTCGTTCCTATTTGGGCAACTTGTAGAAGTTATGTCTGACAAACTTATTTAAAGAGAAACACAGTTTTGTTTGAGAAGAATATATATATTGATTCAAACAGAAAAATAATGTTAGTTGTGTTTTTACCCCCAACTTAAATAGATTATACAGCTGGGTACCAAAAAGATTGTATGGGAACATGATCGTCAAAATGGAAGAACCCACTAAATGTTTCAGGTGGTGGAGGGAAGTGTGTTTATATTTCAACTCATTGAATACTGCAAAAGGATTTAAAGGGACACTGTAGTTCAGCAGTAGCAACCTTCGACACTCCAGATGTTGTGGAGTACACTTCCCCTGATGCTTGCCAGCATTATGGGAGATGTAATACACAACATCTGAAGTTCTAAAAGTCGCCTACCCCTGCTGTAGGCACTATAGTCATTTCATCTCATTGAATTAATTATAGTGCATGGAGTACTCTGGTGCTGTCCTTCCATTCAGTGTTAAACCAATTTCAAGTAGCTTGACATTGTATGATATTCACTGGACACCACCAAGCTAGTCTGTATTGGAGGTATCATTAAAGCAGAGATTACAGTCTTCCTTTGCCATCCAAATTCATACCTGCAAAGGGAAGCTGTGACAGGCTAAAAAGCATTCCGTATAGTGTCCCTTTAATGGATTTAACATATACAAGGACTTTAGGTGATATATATTTATTAAAAAAGCTTAAAGGGACACTATAGTCACCTGAACAACTTCAGCTTAATGAGGTTGTTCAGGTGAGAACTATAGCTCCCTGCAGCCTCTCGTGTAAACACTGTATTTTCTGAGAAGTTGCAGTCACTCAGTGTGAACCAGAGGGACTTCGGAGTTGATGGAGGCATAATATGCCTCCATCCACTCAGATCTGCTGTCAGCAGAGCACAGGGCAGCACTGTACACAGCATCCTGTGATTCAGTATCTCCTCCCTCTGCATGCAGACACTGAACTTTCCTCATAGAGATTCATTGATTCAATTCATCTCTATGAGGAGATGCTGATTGACCAGGACTGTGTTTGAATCATGCTGGCTCTGCCCCTGATCTGCTTCTTTGTCTGTCTCAGCCAATCCTATGGGGAAGCACTGTGATTGGATCAGGATACCATATGTCAGCAGACTGCTTGTTTTTCCTGAGTAACACAGGGCCGGACTGGGAAAAAAAAATTCGCCCGGGCATTTTTTTTTATCACAGCGGCCCATTAAGAAGGGGGGCGGGGCAGAGAGGGTGTGTTTTGTATCACTAATGACAAACACGCCCCCTCTCAAAGTGAGCATGTTGGTTCAATGCTCTTCCAGGGCAGACCATGCGCAGTGCTCTGCCGAAGAGCTCTAGCATGAGAAAAAAGCCCTGCATTTGTTCTGCACAGCACAAGCAAATTTAATAACATGCTTGCACTGTGTTTCCTTGCAACTTGTCTCTGGTGACACCAGGAGACAAAAATGCCAGGAAAGAGTATTGTGCATGTGTTTCAAGCCTGCTTGTGGTATTGCGTGTGTGTAGAGTGAGCTGATTGTGGTGTGGTATTGTGTAATAAGGTCGGTTTTAGTCGTGTTGTGTTTGTGGCGTAATGTAATGCATATGTGGCTAGGGGCTGTAGAGAATGTGTGTATAGGGGATGTAGCAAGAGTGTGCATACAGGCTATAGTGTGTGTGTGTGTATAGGTGATGTAGTGTTTGTAGAGAGTGTGTGTTTAGGGGTGTAGTATGTGTTTGCTTACAAGGAATTTAGTGTGTATGTTAGGAGTGTAGTGTGTGTATATATATTATATAAATATGTTTGGAAATATTGTGTGTGTGGGTGTGTTGCAGTGTGTCGGGGGCTTCTGTGTGTATGTGAGGGGTGTAGTGTGTATGTGAGGGGTGCAGTATGTGTGTGTGTGATGGATGCTGTGTGTGAGGGTGCGGTGTGTGTGAGAGTGCTGTGTATGATGTGTACGAGAGTGCCGTGTATGAGAGTGCCGTGTATGAGAGTGCCGTGTATGAGAGTGCCGTGTATGAGAGTGCCGAGTGGGCGAGAGTGCCGAGTGGGCGAGAGTGCCGAGTGGGCGAGAGTGCCGAGTGGGCGAGAGTGCCGAGTGGGCGAGAGTGCCGAGTGGGCGAGAGTGCTGTGGGCGAGAGTGCTGTGGGCGAGAGTGCTGTGGGCGATAGTGCTGTGTATAAATGTTAGAAGGGATTATGTGTTGGGGGGGGGGGGAAATGAAAAATAACTAAGCGGCACTCTCACACCATCCCTGGTGGTCCTGTGGGCTAGAGTTCACTCTCGCGAGATCGGCGGAGTAAAACGCTCCCGATATCGCGAGAGGAACCCGGAGGAGCTGCAAGATAGAGCTCCGCCAGGTTCTCCTCTCCCTCCCCAGCTGCAGGTCTATTTAAGTGGGCCGGTGAGGGAGATCTTTGATCCGTCATGGCAAACAGCGGGGGCAGCGCTCGGATAGTGCCGGCCCTGCATAGACCGGCAGGGGAGATCCTGTAACCTCCCCTGCCGGCCTTGGCCCATGGCCACCGCGGCCCACCGGGCATTTGCCCAGTGTGCCCGATGGCCAGTCCGGGCCTGGTCTAACAGCATGCAGATTTACAGCTTCTGGTTTGAATACAGTAAGATTTTTACTATATTTATGGAGGCATGAGGGGCCTAGATGGTGGTGTTAACACTATAGGGTCAGGAATACATGTTTGTGTTCCTGACCCAATAGTGATCCTTTAAAGGCTGAATTTTGAAAATATATGACATGTTTCAAATCGATTTGAAGCCAATAATATAATGCTCATTTTTCAGTGTTTACTTTTTCCAAAACAAAATATAGTGTTATGGATGGGAGAGTGCAAAATTACATAAATACTGGCAATCCAAATTCATGTGCACTCATGATTTGATTTTGCTTTTCTTTAGTATAAACTGGTTTTGAATCAATATTTCTGCTTCTCTGTATGAATGCCTGTCTTACTTATTCCCATTCCAAAAGTTGTGATTGTTATAAACCGATCACATATGATTTTTTTTATAGCCAACAAGAGGGTCTCGTTATACATAAAATAAAAAAAAAAAAAAAAAAAGGTATTAAATCATGGTCCTATTCTACAAAGAGATGGTGCCATCTAATTGATTATTATATTCTTCCTGCTATTTATTTCAGTGTCATTTTCGTTGCAATATCAATAAAAAGAAAATATTTTACATTTAAATTTTTTCAGCAAGTGCCATAATCTGAAATGTCATTTCCCTGTAAATTCTTTTTCAAACACACAATTTCAAAATATTACTAAGTACCTGTAGCCTTGTAAGACATTTCTCGGTAGTGAGTCAGATCCTCACCACTAACCAGCACTAACTGTGGACACTTATCCTTTGCTTCTCTGACTAACATCAGTTTATGAACACCCAGGCTCCTGGCTTCGTAATTGCAAGTAACCACAATGTTTTTCTGTTGAACTCCTGAAAATAAATACAAAAAAAAAAACACAAACACCCCAAACAATAAGTAATTTTCAAGTCATTATAAACGATTCATTTTTAAACAGTTGCTTCAGTAAAAAAAAAAAAAAAAAAAAAAAATTATCCAAATTCCACAGCTGTCATTTCTTCCAAAATGTAAGGGTGAAAGCAACATTGTACGAGCCTCACACAAAAACGATACAATCGAAAAGATCTGGCATTCACAATGTCCCAGGACAGCTCTTTATTAGGAAACCATAAACAAGGTTTCAGCCCCGCATTGTCTGTACTGAAGCTTTGTTTGTGGGTTCATAATAAAGAGCTGTCCTGAGACATTGTGGGTGCTGAATCTTTTCCTTTGTTTTTATTGTATTGGAGTGTGCCGCTCTGGAACTTCAAGCACAGCGATTAATGTGGTCCTAATCCAGTTTGGTGAGTGCCATCTCAATTGTTTTACTCACATGATATCAATGTTCCCCAACCAATAATTATTATATTTATATAGCACCAACAAATTCCATAGCGCTTTATAAATCAATATTCCATTTGCCTAGTCTAGGCCTGCACCCCCAGATGTTTTGAACTATAACTCCCATGATTCTTTGAATTAAACGAATAGCCAACCCCTATGATTCATTGAATGAAAAAGCCAACGCCTATGTTTTTTTTTTAAATGAAACAGCTAGCCATGGAATCATGGGAGTTGTAGTTCAAAACATCTGGGGGGCTACAGGTTTTTCAGGCCTGGCCTAGTCTCTTAATGAACGGTAATGCAAGTTCAAGTAAATAAAAACCAAAACCACCCACCTGTGCGATCATCACTCACTGTTTCCACCCTTAAGTCATTTCACAAGGAGATGACTCCACTAGGGAAACACTGTACGCGTACATGAGGAATTCTCCCACTGGTCAGTGTTAAACCAGGAATTAGCCAAGATACTTCAGACAGTTCGTAACTGCACATATCACTAGATGACTATCAGAATCTGTATATTTTCTAAGCGTTCGCCCAGTGGTCTCAGGTTATCATTTCCATCCAAAATAGACGGAATCACACATTATATTGGAGATTCTTCACACTGTGTAGTATAATCATTTACTTCCAGGGTTGTGCACTCAAGTGAGAATTAGAGGTGAAATTTACATTTTAGACCAACACTGAAGCATAGTTGAAAGAGAATTTTAGTAAATAACCCTGTCAGCATTACAGAACTGTATTCCTACCATACATTTTATTTTCGCCTGGTGGAAAATAGACACATTACCAAGAGGTTTTGTCTTCAAGTGTGGATTTCGAATCATTTCAACTTGGGCATAGAAGCAATCCATGTCTATGTGTATGATAACTCTGCTCCCAGCTTTGCATGAAGTTCCGGAATTCCTGGGAACTAAATAAATAAAAAGTTTTAGATCAAGCCTTTAACAACACGATGGAAAAACTTGTTTCTTTAAGATTAATTTGCTGCTTAAAAATATATTTGCAAAGACAGCATATGAAAATGACTGACCTATGTGTTGATCGTAAAGCTATACTTATGGTGGGCTGGTTAACCAGATTACCTTTTCAGCGTGCGGTATATTTGACACTTATCAGGGCAAAATGGATATACTTTTCCATAAACAGATTTCTCTTTAAATGTTTAACCCCTTAAGGACACATGACATGATTCCCTGTTATTCCAGAAGTTTGGTCCTTAAGGGGTTAAAGCTTAAAAGGTTAACAACCAATTTCAAAATCATCAGCTCCTCCCACTCCTCAACTGGACAGGAACAGCTTCTTTTTAAAAGAATAAGAGTCGTTTTTCCTTACCACTACACTTAGAAATAAGATGTTTTTGCACCTCCATTTTTTTTTCTCTCTTTTGTGGCTTACTCGGGTCTAAGATTACCTCAGCCCATGGTGAGTTCAGCCATTCTCCCCATGGAAACCTCAAGCACAGCACCTCACTAAGCGCAACCCCCTAGAGCAGTGCTCCTCAGGGCACACCTAACAGTCCAGGATTTAGGGATTACCCAGGTGTGTCTAAGGTGTTTAGAAGAAAAAAAGAAAAAACACACATCTTGGAGTTTAAGGTGTTTAAAAAAAAAAAAAAAACACCACAACTAAACTCCTTAGACACACCAGGGTAATCCCTAAATCCTGGACTGTTAGGTGTGCCTTGGGGAGAGGGCCGAGGAGCATTGCCCTAGAGGACTCTCCCCATATCCACCGGGAAGTTACGCTGCAGTGATCCTTTAGGTAACAGCTGGACATGCTAGACCCCCTGAGGTGATAATTCTCGTTCAGAGCACACATACCTGATTGGAGTCCTGGGGTATTCTAGCTTTCCCACTTGTGGTGGCTATTCTGGATAAGGAAAGGGAGAAATGAAAGAGCAATGGTCTGTTGGTAAAAACTATTGACCCTTACAGGGGTGCTGGAGGGCCTCCTCTTTATTTTCCACTCTTGTCTTGTTCAGTATTTTTTTCTACCTTTTTGGTTCAGCTTCAATGTTGGAACGCATTCCAATTTTCACATGGGCGTCCTGACGCCTTTTCAACAGGGATGCATTATGTTGCGAGTTAAAGTTCCAACTGAGATATTTTCCCCCTAACCCCTCTGATATTCCCTCTACTGAGGAGAATCCAACAGGAGCAAGTTACCATTCTAGCAGTTATCCCACATTGGCCCAGACACCCTTGGCTTTCTCTGCTGCAGAAGTTATCTCAGGGCTCCTCCTGAATCTGTCATGCCATTATCATCTGTTACACCAGGGCCCGGTTTTTCATCATGCACCCCATTCTCTGAAATGGATGGCTTGGAAATTTAAAAGTCAACGACTCCTTAAAGAAAGGCTTTTCTGCATCGGTAAGCAACACCTTGCTCAATACAACAAAAAAAGAGTCGACTTCTTCAGGCTTTTCCTGCATATGGGACATTTTCTGTAATTGATGTGTTGTTCATGAGGCCCCTTCTCAGTCTCCTAGTACCAGTAACATCCTTCAAGATGGATTTGAAAAAGGTTTTAGCCTCAGTTCCTTTAAAGTGCAGATTTCACCTCTATCTGCTCTTTTATATCATAAGCTGGTTTTTGATCCTGATATTATCAGGGTTTTTCAAGCGGTTCTAAAACTCTGCCCTCTAATTAAGTATTGCTTTCCTTCATGGGACTTGCCTCTGGTGTTGCAGGCCTTGTTTTGTACTCCATTCGAACCTTTAGAGGATTTCTCTCATCCTTGACTGTGAAAACCGTCCTACTGGTGGCACTTCAGGAAGAAGGATCTCAGAGCTTAGGGCTCTTTCATGCAAGTCGACCTTTCTGATCCTACACGAAAATAGAGTCATACTTCATAAAATTCCAGTCTTTAATCCTAAAGTGGTGTCCTCCTTCCATATTAACCAAGACATCCTTTGCCTGCCTTCTTCCCCCATCCCTCATCTGAGGAAGAAGAGAAATGGCATTGACTAGACCTGGTTTGTTGTCTGTATGCTTACCTAAATCGTACTGCTGGCAGAAGGAAAACATCTAGCTTTTTCATCATTCCTTCAGGAAACAAGATGAGTCAAGTTGCTTTTACTTCTTCTATTGGCCGGTGAATAATCTCAAGCATTGTTCAAGTTTACAAACCTTCTGGCGTTTCAGTGGGTCATCGAGCTCATTCCACCAGATCATTGGCCACCTAATGGACAGATCCAGCCAATATTTCTCTTGACTGCATTTGTTTAGCAGCAACCTGGTCCTCATTTACCACATTAATCCATCATTATCGGCTAAACGTAGCTAGGTCTTCTACCTCGGAATTTGATAGAAGTGTTTTTCTGCTGCCTTATAGTTAATTTTGTAAATTAATGTTTTTCTTTTACATTAATCTTTGTTTGTTTTTTTCCATAACCCATATGACCCAGGACATACTTGAAAATGAGATAAATTCCAATGTATCTTTCCTGGTAAAATATTTTATAAATAAATCTGTAGTGCTGCCATGGTTATATCCAGGGAAACAGAAAATGTATACCATATTTACCGAAATTTTTGTTTCCAGTTATAGGCCATGTCAGCACTACAGTCCTGCCCTTAATTGATTTTCTGCTAGTAGCTTTGGACTAAGACTGATGGGGCAAGCGAAGGAGTCTTTTATTGTATAATTAGGAATTGTTCCTGACCTACTGAGGACTGGGAAGAGCTATACCCATCTGTAGTGCTGTCATGACCTATATCAGGTAAACAAAAATATTGATAAGTATGGTATTAACTTTCTGTTTCTGAAACATAGACTCTGTAAAAGGTCACTTGTTGCACAGGTTATGGTACACATAGTACTTATAGTAGAAGCAATTTGCAAACATTGCTAAAGCAAAAAGACTGACAACAAATGGGTAATTTCTGCTATTGTTCAAGTTGTGCTTGTGGCATGCACATCCTTCCCATCTATTCTCATATTTATTATAGTATATTATGTACAGTACAGTGTGTTCCACAGATGTCTACGGAAGCTTTAGTCAACTTGCCCCAAACATTCTGTATAGCATATTACACTTAAATGTGTGTTATACAGAGATATTGGAAAGGTATGTGGTAATTAGATCACAAAGTAGGCTCCCATATGTTTTCCAGAGGTTAGATTAGCTGTATGGGATTACCATCATGCAGGTATATTACACCATGTGTTATGTACAGGTTAGAGGAGCTGTGTCCCAATGTGTGTTATATAGAGGTTAGAGGAGCTGTATTACACTGTGTGTTATATAGAGGTTAGAGGAGCTGTATTACACTGTGTGTTATATAGAGGTTAGAGGAGCTGTATTACACTGTGTGTTATATATTGGTTAGATGAGCTGTATTACACTGTGTTATATAGAGGTTAGAGGAGCTGTGTTACACACTGTGTTATATAGAGGTTAGAGGAGCTGTGTTACACACTGTGTGTTATATAGAGGTTAGAGGAGCTGTGTTACACACTGTGTGTTATATAGAGGTTAGAGGAGCTGTATTACACACTGTGTGTTATATAGAGGTTAGAAGAGCTGTGTTACACTGTGTGTTATATAGAAGTTACAGGAGCTGTGTTACACACTGTGTGTTATATAGAGGTTACAGGAGCTGTATTACACACTGTGTGTTATATAGAGGTTAGAAGAGCTGTGTTACTGTGTGTTATATAGAGGTTACAGGAGCTGTGTTGGCTAATTATACAGAGGTTAGAGGTGAGTTGTATTAAGGCCACTGTGTGTTATATAGTGTTAGAGGAGCTGTATTATACACTGTGTTATATAGAGGTGAGGGAGCTGTGTTGTTAATTGTTATGAGGTTAGAGGGGAGCTGTATTAATACTGTGTTATATAGAGGTTAGAGGAGCTGGCTACACACTGTGTGTTATATAGAGGTTAGGAGGGAGCTGTGTTACACTGTGTAAGTTATATAGAGGTTAGAGGATACACTGTGTGTTATAGAGTTAGAGAGTTGTGTTAAGCACTTGTAAAAGTTATATAGAGGTTAGAGAGCTGTGTTATAATACTGTGTGCTATATAGAGGTTAGAGGAGTTACACACTGTGTAATATAGAGGTTACAGGAAAGTTGTGTTGGTTTGTGTGTTATATAGAGGTTACAGGAGCGGTGTTACACGCTGTGTGTTATATAGAGGTTAGAGGAGCTGTATTACACACTGTGTGTTATATAGAGGTTAGAGGAGCTGTATTACACGGTGTGTGTTATATAGAGGTTACAGGAGCTGTATTATACGGTGTGTGTTATATAGAGGTTACAGGAGCTGTGTTACACACTGTGTGTTATATAGAGGTTACAGGAGCTGTGTTACACACTGTGTTATATAGAGGTTAGAGGAGCTGTGTTACACACTGTGTGCTATATAGAGGTTAGAGGAGCTGTGTTACACGGTGTGTGTTATATAGAGGTTAGAGGAGCTGTATTACACACTGTGTGTTATATAGAGGTTAGAAGAGCTGTGTTACACACTGTGTTATATAGAGGTTAGAGGAGCTGTATTACACACTGTGTGTTATATAGAGGTTAGAAGAGCTGTGTTACACTGTGTGTTATATAGAGGTTACAGGAGCTGTGTTACACACTGTGTGTTATATAGAGGTTACAGGAGCTGTATTACACACTGTGTTATATAGAGGTTAGAAGAGCTGTGTTACTGTGTGTTATATAGAGGTTACAGGAGCTGTGTTACACACTGTGTTATATAGAGGTTACAGGAGCTGTATTACACACTGTGTGTTATATAGAGGTTAGAAGAGCTGTGTTACACACTGTGTGTTATATAGAGGTTAGAGGAGCTGTGTTACACACTGTGTGTTATATAGAGGTTAGAGGAGCTGTATTAAACACTGTGTGTTATATAGAGGTTAGAGGAGCTGTGTTACACACTGTGTTATATAGAGGTTAGAGGAGCTGTGTTACACACTGTGTGTTATATAGAGGTTAGAGGAGCTGTATTACACACTGTGTGTTATATAGAGGTTAGAGGAGCTGTATTACACACTGTGTGTTATATAGAGGTTAGAAGAGCTGTGTTACACTGTGTGTTATATAGAGGTTACAGGAGCTGTGTTACACACTGTGTGTTATATAGAGGTTACAGGAGCTGTATTACACACTGTGTGTTATATAGAGGTTAGAAGAGCTGTGTTACTGTGTGTTATATAGAGGTTACAGGAGCTGTGTTACACACTGTGTGTTATATAGAGGTTACAGGAGCTGTATTACACACTGTGTGTTATATAGAGGTTAGAAGAGCTGTGTTACTGTGTGTTATATAGAGGTTACAGGAGCTGTGTTACACACTGTGTGTTATATAGAGGTTACAGGAGCTGTATTACACACTGTGTGTTATATAGAGGTTAGAAGAGCTGTGTTACACTGTGTGTTATATAGAGGAGCTGTATTTACGTTGAGGTTGTGTACTAGGCCCGCTCAGGCTGGCCGGACCCCAATCTCCTGACTGCCAGTCCGTGCTGTCCTCATCCTCTTCCTCCATTTCCCGCGGAGATTCCTGGTCTGTGCACTGGCTGCAGTGAGGCAGCGCGTTACGGCGAGGGCGGGGTTTCCTCGTGACGCCACTGCGACGGGCGGGTTCTCCCCCCCGCTCCCGCTCCCGCCCCCCGCTGTCAGTGCGAGGGGCGGGGCTTCCTCCCGCTGTCAATGCGCTGTCAGTTTGAGGGGCGGGGTTTCATCCCGCTGTCAATGAGGGGCGGGGTTTCATCCCGCTGTCAATATGAGGGGCGGGGTTTCATCCCGCTGTCAATGTGTGGGGCGGGTTCTCCCATGCTGTCAGTGCGAGGGGCGGGGTTTCCTCCTGCTGTCGGGTTGAAGGGCGGGGTTTCCCAGCTCAAAATACACGCTTGGGGTACGAAGTGGGAGGAGTCGGTGCTCGCAGCATTCAGGTCGTCATGGTAACGGTGCAGGGCGTTCGGAGCGCGCCACGCTCTGGGTGTCACGGTACCGGGCCATATTGGGCAATGTTACAGCCCCGGACTGCTGGCCAGTACCGGTCCAATCTGTCAGTGTGTATTTATAAAGCCTACATTAACCCTTTCAGGACGGAGTCAATAGTGCACGTTCTGATCAAAACAAAACGTAAACAAAAACTGAAATTTGCGCTATATGTCTGTTCAACCGTAATTCACCGCTGTCACATTAAGTGCACCCACACTTATTATATATCATTTTGTTCAGAGAAACAGGGCTTTAATGTATCATTAACTATCCATATATGGAACATAATTTATTATGAATAAAATGTGAGAAAATAAGATTTTTTTTAAATTTGTATTTCTGTCTGACATTTTAGCTGCGAATCTCATAATACTGTTAGGTTTTACTGCAAAAAAATGCACATATTTGTAATCAGCGATGTCTCACGAGTACAACAGTACCCCCCATTAACAGGTTTTAGGGTGTTTTGGAAAGTTACAGGGTCAAATATAGAACGTTCCATTTTCAAATTGAAATTTGCCAGATTAGTAATGTTACCATTGAGAAGGTGTGGTAGCCCAGGAATGAGAATTACCCCCATAATGGCATACCATTTGAAAAAGTAACCCAAGGTATTGAACGTGGGGTATGTTTAGTCTTTTTTAGTAGCCACTTAGTCACAAACACTGGCCAAAGTTAGTGTTCATATTTGTCTAATATTTGGCCAGTGTTTGTGACTAAGTGGTTACTAAGAAAGACTGGACATACCCCACTTGCAATACCTTGGGTTGTCTACTTTTGCAAATGATATGCCATCATGGGGGTTATTCTCATTCCTGGGCTAACATATGCTCTCAAAGGCAACACAACCAATCTGGCAAATTTCGATGTAAAAAAAAAATGAAATGCAAGCTTTATATGTGACTCTATAACTTTCCAAAACAATATTAAACCTGTACATGGGGGGTACTGTTATTCTCGGGAGAATTCACTAAACACAAATACAGTGGCGTACATACCAGGGTTGCAGGGGTCGCGGTTGCGACCGGGCCCGGCCCACCAGGGGGCCCGGCCGCCCCTGCGACCCGGTATGTAGCCACTGGGCCAGCCTCTTCTCCTGGGGGGCCCAGGAGCCGAACACCCCAGGGCCCCCCAAGGCTGGCCCTGCTGACCCCAGCTGGCGGGTGGCCGGTCGGGCTGGCGGGCGGGCGCGCGAGGGAGTGTGTGTGTGTGTTAGAGTGTGTGAGTGTTTGAGTGTGTGTGTTAGAGTGTGTGTGTGTGAGTGTGTTAGAGAGTGTGTGTGTGTGTTAGAGAGTGTGTGTGTGTGTTAGAGAGTGTGTGTGTGTGTGTGTGTGTGTGTAAGAGTGTGTTAGATTGAGTGTGTGTGTTAGATTGAGTGTGAGTGTTAGAGTGAGTGTGTCTGCTAGTGAGTGTTAGTGTGAGTGTTAGTGTGTGTGTCTGCTAGTGAGTGTTACTGTGTGTGTCTTACTGAGTGTGTGTGTTAGTGAGTCTGTTTGATGTCTGTTAGTGAGTGTGTGTTTGTCAATGAGAGTGTATGTTTTGTAAGTAAGTGTGTGTGTATGTCTGTCGCTGAGTGTGTCTCTGTCAGTAAATGTGTGTGTCTGTTAGCTAGTGTGTATGCGTCTGTAAGTGAGAGTGTGTGTGTCTTCAGCACTTACCTTTCTCCAGCGCCGGACTCCCTTGGCGCTGGGGATCCCTCAGCCTCTCAGCTCCGAATGCGACCGCGCACGCATTCAAACCGCCCATAGGAAAGCATTACTCAATGCTTTCCTATGGACGTTCAGTGTGCTCCTCTAGCGGCTGTCAGTGAGACAGCCACTAGAGGCTGGATTAACCCTCAGTGAAACATAGCAGTTTCTCTGAAACTGCTATGTTTTCAGCTGCAGGGTTAAAACTAGAGGGACCTGACACCCAGACAACTTAATTGAGCTGATGTGATCTGGGTGTCTATAGTGGTCCTTTAAGTGTGTGTGCATCTGCATGCATTGGCGTACATACCGCGTTCGCAGGGGTCGCAGCCCTGTAACCCCTGCGACCAGGTGCCCACCGCCATGTGTTGCGGCCCGGCCCACGCGCACGGGGGGGACCCAGGGATCAATATTCGCACCGGGGCCCCATGGGTCATGTGTACGCCACTGCACAAATATTAGTGTTTTAAAACAGTAAAACATATAACAACAATAATATAGTCCATAAAAGTGCCGTTCATTTGTAAAAAAAAATGCAAACAATGTCACTTTTACTTAAAATATCATCGTTGTAATACAATTTACCAGTTTGAAACACTAATATTTGAGTTCAGCGAAGTCTCCTGAGTAAAACAGTACCCCCTATGTACAGGTTTTATGGTGTCTTGGAGAGTTACAGGGTCAAATACAGTGCTTGCGAATTAAATTCTCTGCACTTTCTCCCTGTGTTGTCAGACATGTCAATCAAATTTTAATTAAACAAATCACATAATTATGTTAAAAGATTACTTAAATATACATGTAGAATTTTAATATATATGCATTTATAGGTATTTAAATTCTACGTGTATACTAATGTAATCTTTTATGTAATTATATGTATTTATATATATATTTGCGGTTATATGTATTTATATATATAGAATGTCATTCTAAGTATATTTTATTACCGATTATTTATATTTATATATATATATATAAAATCCAAAGGTATGGCTGCACTCACAGTTTAAAAGTCCAAAGTTTAATGAAAAAACGATTTAAAACATCACGTGATCAACGTTTCAGTCACATAAGACTTTCATCAGGATCATAAAATGTGTATATATATATATATATATATATATATATATATATATATATATAATTAAATAAATAAAATACGGTTAGAATGAAATTACATATGAATATATAATTTATATTTTGTTTCAATATTTTAAATTTATTTTATTATTGTAATTATACATATATATATATATATATATATATATATATATATATATGTAACGTCATTCTAAGTGTATTTTAATACTAATATGTACTTATATTATTAATATACACTTAGAATGACGTTACATATATAGAATATATGTATACACACATACATACATTTCTATGTTAATTTTAGATAGGTTTTTTTTTTTTTTTTTACAGCTCCAACCAGCAGGGGGACTGTCTGACATTTCAGACAGTCCCCCTGCTGGCAGATCCACAGCCAGCTATAGGGGGCCATGTGAGTATACCGGGCGCTCCAGGGGCTTCAGCCGTTGCGGCGTTCTATGCCGCCGCAATGGCTTTAAAGCCTATTTAATGCGGGGCGGCTGTTATGCTACTTGGGTGATTTGGATTGGAACTCAACTGCAGCTTGTAAACCTCCCTAATTACATTAGTGAAGATACGGAGAAACTTTAAAGTATCAATACTGTAGCTTTAAGAAAAGAGGAATCGCTGGTAACTTGATTCAACCGACGTTTTAATAAGTGTTAAACTTAAATGAATTGCATTCAGGCAATAATCCAATAAGAAGAAGTGCAAGTAATCAACAACACAAAGTTCATTATTAAGTATTTCCTTAGAGATGCATTAAGTAACATTCTTTAGGCAAATGAGAATAATCTTCAATAGTAACTTTAAGCAAGTAGCTAAGAATATTTGCAAAGCAAGAACAGTTCATAGTTAATAAGCATGATGGGAGTTGTCCTCCATATAATTAGTAGCTTGAAGCAGTGAGTGTATTTGCAAAGCAAGAAACAGTTCATTCATAGTGAATAAACATGATGGGCGTTGTCCTCCATATAATTAGTAGTTTGTAGCAATGAAGATTTAAGTAAGCAAGCATTAGTTAATTAATAAATGATATTGTACACAAATAGCTGAAATATATACTTAAGGTTAATATGTGTAGTCCTCCAATAGTTCAGAGATATGGTCCACTTGTAAAGTAGCAAAGTATCCGTTCTCCAGTAATCCTTTATGGCATGCAGCAATCCTTGCATTGGCTCAAAAGCTGGAACGGCTTGTCTGAGCTTGTGGAGAGGTAAGTCTGGAGGAAGTAGCTCCCAGTATCACCAAGCACCTTCTCTCTGGCACAGTCTCCCTAAATACCGTCAGAGCTGTGTCAGAGGGGGGCGGGGTCCGGCTCCGCCCAGCGGATTGCCGAACCCAGAAGTGTTACCGCATGACAACGGCATAGAACGCCGTAACGGTGTTAAGGGGTTAAGGCGCAGGGAGGTGGATTAGAGGTGGGTTTATTTCTGTTAGAGGAGCCAATAGGCTTTGTACATTATTTGGCCTCCCTCTCTTAAAGGGGCTCTGTCACTTTGAGTATTTCATAGCAATGTGTTCATTAAACACCAGGGCCGGACTGGGGATACAAAGCAGCCCTGCAAAAACAATCTATGCCAGCCCCATAAATCATTGTGCTGTGTATTTTGTGTAATATATATATATAAAATATTATAATTATAATTCATCTCGGGTGGCAAGACAGCCTTACATATTATCATTGGTTTATTTCTTTTTCTAATTCAAAATATTGGTCCATTCAGCGTAAAACATTTAATTATACAGTAAGCATACCCACATGCAGACACAGACAATCTCACTGTCACAAGCTCATTGATGCACAGGCTCACAGACAGACAATCTCATTGCTATACATGCCCTCATTGACAAAAAAAAACACAAGCCCACTGATACACACAAATAGGT